ATTAAAATAATAAAAAATAATAAAATATTCAGGGGGGACCCTCTAGACAGGGGACCCTCCAGATGTTTCCCGAATACTGTATAGTTGTATCTTATAGTTATTGTGTATAGTGTACAGTTTGATCAATGCATCATTATTTTAAAACTGAAAATTACATTTTTTTTTCTCTTTATATCCGTTTGTCCCATTCCTTTCATTCATTACACAAGGAACAAAAACTTTTTTTTCCAAATCCAGTTGTATTGTGCCTTTGTACAAATTACATTAATGAAAATCACACTTCCTTTAGGCAATCACACAAATTATTTCAAACTGCACCCACTGAGTTTGTAAACCACTGAGTGATGACCTAATGGTAAGTTTCACAAACTTACTTAAAATATAAATAACTTAATATAGGCATCTGAAAATGCCATGCCAACCCCTCAATCTCACAGTAAAAAAAAATCTTTGGCAGATCTATGGATGTATGTGACCTACGTCTATTAATATTATTAATAATATATTTTTTCACATTGATTAGAAAAGTGTGTCTTCCGAGTCAAGACTACAATCAGTATACTTCACAGCAATTGGTGCTTTGTCAAAAATGTTAAAACCAGTCAGCAAATTTTACTTTTTTGCAATTATTTTCTTGTGGCCATCTGCACCAATTACGAGATTGAATAAAATTTAAATATTTTCTTTGAGTACCATGGTAAAAATTTTAGTACTACCTCCAACCTCCTAGCAGTTGTATGACTAGATTAGCCTCAAATCTGTGTTTTGCTCTTCACAGCTACATTCGTTGTCAGTCGTCAGGCCCTTCTTCCTGAAAGTAACAAGGATACTGTTAGTGTTTAAGTCGCACGTGGAGTTATTTTTTAGGATTGCCGTTGATCCTAGAGTGGCAGAGTGGCACTCACCTGGCAGTGCTGGTGGCGGGGCCGCGGTGCTCCGCTCTCCTAGTTTGTCTTCTTGGGGTCCTTGTTCTCGTCCTTGCTGGGGCCGCGGCCGAGGACCTTGGCCAGGGAGTCCCAGATGCCGCCCATGAAGAGCGCGCAGAAGAGGTTCTCGAACGGCACGAAGGGGTCGTGGATGCCCAGCAGGATGGACGAGAGCTGCAACAGAATTGGGCCCGTTGGTTTTCTGATTCTCTCTCTCCCGTCCGTCCGAGGGACCCCGCGGCCCGCGGGAGGGACTAGGCGGGAAGGCCTACCCCCGCCCCTGCGAGCCGATGAGCGCGCAGCTCGCTTACCTTGAAGTAGACGAAGAAGATGACGATGCCAAAGTACACGAGGGCGTGCGGCGCAGAGATGAGATCAGTCTTCTTGTCCAGGACAAAGATGATGGAGGCCACTATGCAGGCTTTGGTGGGGCTGATGACGAGCGAAATGAGTTTCATCAGTGACATTTTTTCATCAGTGGACAAAAAAAAAAAAAAAAAAAAAAAAAAAAGTCCGACGGCTCTCTACATCTATATACTCACAAGCTGGGCTGCATGAACTCCATGGCCGTGGGCGTCCAGACGCCTCTGATCAGTCTCTCGAGGAGCTTGGTGAAGCCGGCGCCGTTGCCCTTGAGCGTGCCGATGAGGATCATGATGAGGTAGGCGTTGGGGTACAGCTTGGCCGCGTGGGTCACACCGTCGTACACCTTTTTACACCTGGCACAAGACACGTCGCTTCGTTATCTCCCGCTCCGACCATTCATTTCAAAATAAAATAATCGAATACTAGTTCGGAAATTAATTCGTATAGAATGTACCGCATGAACGCGTGCAGCTAGGTTGGCCCTGTAGGTCCGCCCAGCGACGTAAGTCAAACCTGCCAAGCTACGCGGAACTGATTCAGAAATAATGTCCCTGTGCACCGTGCACCCACCTGTAGACCTCCTTCATGCCCGAACACACGATCTTGACGGGGAGGAACTTGGCCGCCTTGTAGCCGATGTCGAAGGGCGTGTAGAAGACGAGGTACCATACGATGGTGGCCACGGCGAGCTGAGGTGTGTTCTTCAGCGGGGCCAGGATGGGCTCGCCGAGGAGGCCGTTGCAGAGCATGCCGCCAGCGAAGATGACGAGCATGGTGGACAGCCAGCACGACAGGGGGTGCTTCCTGGAGAAGGCGTGCGCCCCTGCAGGAGGAAAGAACGAGTTCAGCCAGGTAAGTTAAGTTTTCAAATGGTTTTACGTCAAATAAGGTCACATTTATATTTTACATAAGTAGTCGCTGTTTCCCTCTGCCTTACAGCTGTAGCCTTTCAATTCAGCGCAAGCTCTCGTAGCGCCTGAGGGGTAGGCAACATATCACCCGCAATACACGGGTACACTGCGGGGTGGCCTACCCCGACTCTCACAGGCGCTGAGCTTCTCTATTTTGCCGAATAAATCTAAGAAAAACGGAAGTACTTTCCGGACGATCCCTTATACCACAAGGAAACCGGGAAGGAAGGGCTTCGGCTCGGCATTGTTCTACCGCCGGGTCGGGGGGCCGTGGGTAAGCGCACCGCTCACAGTTATCCCCGCGGGGAAGGGGTGTCGTCGGGGCGTCGGGGCTCCCCTTGTATGGCTTTGCGGCGGGAGCAGACACCTCATCACGGCGCCTCCCTTATGTGCGACATCAACCCCTCCCCCTACCCTCGGTGGGGCACACTGTCCGGTACCCGCGTACCCGGTCGTTGGATGAAGTTTCCCCATGGATACGATGAGTGTTTCTGCCCGGATAGGTACTTTTAATACAGTCTTTTCCCTCTTCCCTCTCCATGATATCTCCCGATTGCGTGGGCTTGAACCGGATAAGCGGATTCCCAATCCCAACCCCCTCGCACCCCCTCTTTTGTTGTGTGCGCCGCGTTCGCCGCGACCCGCCTAGTAGAATGTAGCGGGAGCGGCGGGAGCAGCGGGAGTAGCGAGAGCAGCGGGAGCGGGAGCAGGTGGCGCTGCGGCCACCACCGCCACACCGGCAACAGCCGTACTCTCAGAATTAAATTTAGAAGAAGGCTCGTTCGCTAAGAGAGACGGTGCGGGGCCGGGAGGGGGGGGGGGCGGCCTTTGCCGAGCTTTGCACATGTGTTCCAAAAAGCTATGACCGCTTCAGGCAAAGAAGAACAGCAAGAGCACTGCTTCCCGGCTGACGCCGGTGACATTCTTGAACTCGCCGCAACGGTTACGACCATTACGTGAACAGGCAGACAACACACTAGGCGCTGCGTAGAAACTTAGGAGTGTGGGTGCGTGTGGATAGTTCGGGAACGAAAACGTGAATTAAAATGGGAAAAGTGACTTAACGTGGTATCTGCCGCTCGCCGTCCTCGAGAGGTCTTCGTCTACCTCACCCGCCCCCTTTCCCCTGGCTGCCCTCCCCTACCGCCACCGCGGCGGGCGGCCAGCGGCCCTAATGCCCCATGTGTCGATCGCTATTCAACCGCATTGATCGAGCGAAGCCGCTATATTCATTTAGACCCCTTCACCCAGCAGAAAGTGCTCTGCAAATGAATGTAAATAAACAAGAAAAACCATGTTCGGCGCTCGCCGCTTGACGCTTGAGGACGCGTCTCTGCCGAACGCTTGTCCGCGCCAATTAAGCGGTGCTATAGGGCGATAACGCGATAACGCTTCGGCTCAATCACATAGTGCCCCCACAGCCGCATTATATGTGTTCCGGGGGAGGAGGGGTGGG